CAAACTATCCCGCAACACAAGCCCAACCCATGGCACCGCCTCCGTCGCCCGCGCCGAGTTCACAAGGTAGTGTGGTTGGTGGAGGTAATCAAGGTTAGGGCAATCAAGGGAATGGAGGAAGAGGCGGCGAAAGTGGAGGAAGAGGCGGCGGAAGAGGATGTGGCAGGAATGGCGGTGGCCGAGGAGGACAATGGGATAACCAAGGCTACCAGGGTCAGGAAAATCAAGGGAGCCAGGGAGGCGGGAGGTCCCGTTTTTACTGGAGAACCGCTATATGCCAACATTGTGACAAACAAGGCCATACTACTATATGGTTCTGCAATACTAGGTGGGAAGATGAAAGGGTCGGACTAATATATTCCAATATGGATGGTGATATATACGATCAGTTCAGAGCGTATATCAACCGAAAGGTTCCAGGCGGAGTAAGTGCGGAGGCTCATAGAAGAATAGCTATGAGACAAGCACCACCTGCCACGTTCAGGTTGTGGCAGGAAAAGGATGACCCACCAATTAGGGTGGAAGAGGTGGAAAGTGATGAAGAGGTGACTCAGAGGCTACGGGCAGGAGCTATAAAGGAAGAGCCCATAGTCGTTGAGTTAGACGAAGAGGGCGAAGATGGGAAAGTAGAGGCAACATCCATCCTTATGAGGAAGATGGAATACTTGTGGGAGAAAATAGGGAGGTACCAGCAAAAGTTGGTAGATATTTGCGAGAAAGTAAAGGGATGGAGGGCTGGTATTCCCAAAGTCTTTCTCTACGAGTCTGACCCGAAATCGATGCCAGGGCGACCCAGAGTAGCTATCGTGGGATCAGGCCCGCGGTCTGGAATGATGGTCAGACCCCCTACGACACAAGGAAGAATGGAGCAGCCGACTCGTACTAGAGGCCAGGCTAAGGCCAGTGCAAGCCAGGAACCTCCACGAAGAGAGCCAGAGTCAGACAAGAGAAAAGAGGTCGTAGAGGTGGAGGATGAGGAGGAGGAAGACGAGAAGGATGAAAGGCTGCGCCAGGAAGAGGACCAGAGGGCGAAGCAAAGGGCCAAGAAGAAAGGAGCCCATGAAGAAGCCGAACCAGTTCTGCGCGATGCCTCGCCGAGGAAAAAGAAGTATGCGGTCCGATTGGAGGAAGGTTTTGACGTGGAGAAGATAATCGATAGATTACTTGAGGGTCATAACGACCTGGTAACCTTGAAAGAGATCCTGGCGTCTGCTCCTAAGCTCCGCAACGAGTTAAAGAGAAGGCTCTCTCGGCGCTTAGTACCGAATGTCCATCTAAGTGTGATTCTGCCAAAAGAGGCAGAATGGGTGGAAACTGGAACGAAGATGGACTGGAAGTGTGTGGCCTGCGGCATGGTGGATTTGGTGGTGAAAGGCTCCAAGTGCGCAACAATGGTGGACACAAGAGCAGAGATGAACATCATCAGGGAAGTTGACGCACTCAGGTTCGAATTAGAGATAGACCGCTCGGATTGCGGCATTTTACATGGAGCCAATTGCAAGGCAGTGTTTTGTGGGACAGCCTCGAACATACTTATCGAGGTTGGGGGAGTGAAGGTCAGAGGCTTGCTTCTTTGTTATGCTAGATATGGACCATGGAGTTCTACTGAGGAGATCTTTCCTTTGCAGAACAGAGACGTTGATGTTCGATAAACATGACGAAACTCTGATCCTGATCCTGTGTGACCCGACATGTGGAAACTATGAGATAATCACTTCTTGGAACACAGGCCCACGAAGCATAAGGAATCGGCCAAATCCTGACTCGTTTACAATCGAGGAATCTGAGAATGAGCGCCAAAGACTCCTTATGGAGCCATAGGAGGAAAAAAGGCGTGAGGCGTTCTCCCTCAGTTTATCGGACGTGAACAAGGCCATGGATGTAGTGGCCACACACGAGATGGCAGATCCAGACGCCATCCAAACACTGAGGGAACAGGTCCAGGCACTGAGGGAGAAGGTCCAGGAACTGGAGCTGGTCTATCGGCTCTCGGGCGGAAGGAGGGACCCTGCGATAATGCAGGCATACGCAATAAGCTGACCGTTTTTAGGGGATGGCTCAAGCAGGGTCCCCAAAGGCGGTACAAGACGATAGATAAGAAGTGTCTCCCAACTCCCGTCCTTGTCACGGAAGATGAGGAGGTTTATTACGAATGGGAACAAGGATTGACACGACGTATGAGGGAGCAAGCAGCGGCAGGGCCGTGCCGTATCAATGAAGGGAACGGGGAGAAGTTGATAGTGGGAGAGTCGGACTTCTTGTTACCACAGGAGAGGGCGCTGATGGTAGAGTTGATGAAGAAAAGGCATCGCGCCTATGCGTTCGATGACGATCAGCGAGGGCGGTTGGACGTAGATAGGATCCTCATGATCTGGATTCATACCGTGTCGCATGAGCCATGGAATCTAAGAGGGGCACGATATCCCAATCCTGGCGAGGAGAAGAAGGTAGTGGATTACCTCGACGACAAGATACGTACGCATGTCGCCGACTACTCGAGTAGGCCGTACGCGTCTCCATGATTTTGTTTTGTTAAGCCTAATGAGACGCTGCGATGGGTGCAAGATTTGCAGCGGTTGAATGCTGTGATTGTGCGAGATGCGGGAGGTTTGCCAAATGCAGACGCGCTGTCAGAGTCCTGTGCTGGAAGGCCTATAATTTCACTTATAGACCTCTACTCTGGGTATGACCAGTTTCCAGTCTACCCGCCAGACAGGCCGGTGACAGCAATGCATACGCCTAGAGGATTGACCCATATGAATGTTGCTCCACAAGGGTGGACTAATGCAGTGGCAATGGTTCAACGACATATGATTCGAGCCATGCAGTCAGTCAGCCCGCATATCACTCATCCGTATATCGACGACTTGGCGGTAAAGGGGCCGAGAGAGAAGGAGAGTGACGAGGTATTGTCGGGAGTAAGGCGCTTTGTCTGGAAGCACGTTCAGGATCTTGATAAAGTCTTGAGTTTGCTTGAAGGGCATAATCTCACGGCAAGTGGAGCCAAATCCAGACACTGCATGAGGGAGGCTACCATCCTAGGTTTCGTCTGTAATGAGAAGAGTCCCCGACCGAACGTGAAAAAGATAAACAAGATTACCGAATGACCAGTACCATTCCATTTGATAACAGATGTTTGAAGCTTCCTCGGTACACGTGGATTTTGGAGGACCTTCGCCAAAAACTTTGCCGCCAAGACTGAACACTTAAGAAAGTTAGTTCGTTAGGATCAGGAATGGATCTGGGGTGAGGAGCAGGAGAAGGTTGTGGCAGGGATAAAAAAGGAGTTTCGAGAAGGAGGGTTAGTACTAGGAGCACCAGACTATGATGCCACGAAGGTAAGGCCATTTGTCGTTGAATCGGATGTTGGACCAACTGCTTTGGGAGGAGTCTTGATTCAAGCAGATATCAAAGGAAAGGAGAGACCACTGAGGTTTGAGAGCCAAACTCTGAACACAACTGAGAGAAACTATTCTCAGTTTAAGAAGGAGACTCTCGCTGTCCTTCACTGCCTAAGAATCTTTAGGAATTATATCTTTGGCAGAAGGTTCATACTAAGGCTGAACCCGACTGCGCTCGCCTACTCGTTGAGGAATTATGTTTCGTCGGATCCTACGATCTCCATGGTTGACTTACATCGGATGTTTAACTTTGAGTTGGAAAGAATCCCTGGGAACAAAAATAGAGCAGATGGGTTAAGCCGCATCGACTGGGACCAGCAGAAGGAGAAGGCAGTAGAGACTACACCCCCAGTTGATGGGTTCCTGGATCAAGAGGAAGACATCTGTTTTCACATAAATGAATAGTCTTTGCAATGCCGAATTGTGTCGGCCATCCCATCTGGCTTGCCCCCAAGGGGTATGAACAGAAGGCAGAGTTTGTGCTCAAGCCTTTTGAGGAGGAAGACCCATGGGGCGGCAAAGATGTTCAGTGGATGATGAAATTGGCACTAGCAGGCACGCATAGTCTGGTGGAGGAGGTGAGAACGATAGAGGAAGGGTCAGACCATGCAGAGAAGCACGAGGAATTGATGGGAGGGATGTACCTCCTCGTCAATACACTTCTGCAGGGAAACTTTGATCAGATAAGCTCGCCGAATCCCACTGAGAATGAAGATGTGGTGCCAGAAAGCCAGGATGACGAGTTTGAGGAGGGAGAGATCAAAGAAGCATTCTGTGCAGAGGAATATGATGGGATCTACCTGGAGCTGGGACCTCTCCTATTATGTGAGATGCGGGATAGGGATGCAAGCGAAAGGGCTTAAAAGATGAGGCATCTCTATTTGGTGAGAGATTGTCATCTTTTTGTAAAAAGGCAAGTGGGAAACCCCAGGAGGGTTGTGTGTGGCAGGAACCGTCAGATCGATATAGTAGCTGCACTTCATGATGGGATTGCGGGAGGACATCGAGGAGTTAGTGTCATGTATGCCAAGATAAACGAGTTATACTATTGGGATGGAATGATGGAGATGGTCAGTAAGTTCTGCCGTTCCTGCGTACCTTGTCAAGAATGGTCTCCTCGGATGCCAGGGGAGCCGCTGCATCCGAGGTTAGAAAGGGAAGTGGGGGTCGTAGTACATCTCGATTTACTCTTCATGCCAATTGGGGATCATGACTACAATTATATCTTCGATGCGCTTGATAACCTCTCTGGCTTTGTAGATGGACGAGCCATTCGTAGAAAGACCGGTTCGGTTTTGGCAAGCTGCATCGAGAAGTACTACCTGCGTTATCCCTTTGTCAGAGAGTTCGTGATTGACAGAGGTCGGAGTTTACCAGCCAAGAAGTACAAGAGTTGTTGTGAAGGTACGACATGGTAGCCAATTACACCACGACCTCACACCCCCAGGCAAATGCTCTAGTTGAAAGAGGACATAACACCATCATGAACCTTCTGGCTAAGTGGACTGAAGGTAGGCCTAATCAGTGGCCTAGATACCTGAGAGCAGCGTTTTTTGTCGAGAATATTACGGTGAAAAGGACCACTAAGTACGCGCCAGCCATGCTATGGTATGGGAGGCACGTTACTTTCCCAATTGAGAGCTTCTTGAAGACATGGAGACGTCGACTTAGAAACCAACCTGACCTTCGAGGAATTGCTTGACATTCCAGCGCGACAGGTGGATGCAATTGAGGAAAGGATTCAGGAGGCGTCCAATCAAGTGGAGAAGAGCCGCATGGATGACAAGGCTCGTTAGGATCAGTTGGCTACCCTTGGTGGTTGGGGACATCGTATTGTTATATGACTCATCCCTAGAAAACCAGTGGTCCAGGAAGCTTGACAAAAGGTGGCTAGGGCCATACCGGATTGTGCGATGCGGAGATTTCGGCGCATACCAAAGTGAGGAGTTGGATGGGACAGAATGAAAAGATTGAGTATCGGGAACGATACTGAAGAAATTTGTGGCAAGAGAGGAGGTGAGATAGGTGATCCAACTCCTTTAAAGTAGGATCCTAAGTATGTAGGAAAGTGTCATAGATGAGATGTAGACAAGGAATGGGATGATAGGATGTATAGGTTGGATAGGTGTGCTTAGTGGGTGTGCTTGGTTTGATCTGAGCCTGTTTTATTTCCGCCTGTTTGCTTACCCCAATGTGTGTCTGTCATCCCCTTCGCCTATTGTGCAGGTCTGACTTCGCGAAGGCAGCCATGCCAAGAGGAGGGAGGGGGACGCGGCCGTCACAGAGGCCATTGGGAGCATCGGGAGGTTATGAGCGGCATAGGTCTCGCCATAGGGAGCACACGCCCGTATACGACGATGGGGATATAGAGCTCTTCTTGGATGATTCCAGAGAGCATGCGGAGCACATGGGATGGACGGTGACCCAAATGATCAAGAGGCTGAGAGGAGCCGGCAGATTCGAGGAGCCCATCGCACAGATCCGTAGGGAGGCAAGGACCTGGCCAGAGGTGGAAACGAGGATGCAAGAGTTGAGACCATCACCTGTGGGACCAGATGGCAGGCCGATTCATTTGGAGATTGGGAATATGGAGGACTTTATCCCCGCCTTCGAGCAGTTCATGCACGATCAGCTCGTATTGAGGGATGAGTGGGCGCGGACGCTGCCACTATGGACCAGGAAGGCAGAGAGGCCGTTAGCCAGACAGATCAGAGACATGGCTCGAGACTGGGCGAGTTGCAGGGCACATTTGAGAGAGGCCTTTCGACGACCGGAGCCACCTCAGCCTAGGGTTGAGAGGGGGCGGACGAGCAAGAGGCAAAGGGACCCTGAGCCCAGAGAGGTCATGCCATCTCGAGGAGGGCGAAAGGCGCTCGCTAGGCGAGAGGAGGAGCCAGTACTCGTGGAGGAGGAGCGAGGGGCATATCGCGAGTGTGGGATAGCCCCGGTGGTCTTCGAGCGCTTTATTGGAGCTGAGTTGAGTGGGTCTCCCCAACGCACGAGAGAGGAGGTGCCACTATCCGGAGGATCACTGCAGGATCTGGAGGCGCACCTAGATATCTCACAGTGGAGAGTGCCTCAGGCTGATGAGGGGTGTGATGAGCCAGTTGGAGATGCGCCACGAGAGGAGGTCCGTCAGAGAGAGAAAGTGGTAGAACCAGGTGATCAGGGTGGACGCATAGCAGAGGGGGTGGTAGAGGTTGGAGGGTATACTCCACCTCAGGCGCATGTTGTAGAGTTGGGTCCAGAGATCGTACCGGAGATCGCCCACGAGGAGAGGGAGGAGCCTCGACAGGAGGAGAGTCTGTCCTCGCCGCCGGAAGCAACCCTTTCACCGGGGGTGAGGATGGAGATGGAGCGAGAACAGACTGACTGGAGAAGAGAGGCCATCTCCACGATTGATAGGTATCTGGCTGCGCATGCCCAAGAGCACCCTCACATCGAGGAGCCCGTGCCTATGGAGCCACCGTAAGAGCCACGCTAGCCACAGAGGGAGGCGGGGGCCGAGATTCCAGAGAGAGCCGACCATCGCACAAGAGGGAGAGTACTGGCAGGGGAAACAACCGAGGAGAGGCGGGCTAGAGTTGGAAAGCGCGTGGAGGAGATCAAGCAGGAAAGGCAGAGATTAGAGGCGGCCGGAGCACTTCCGGATCAGCCACCTGACGTGCCCCCTAAACCATGTGGGATGAAGGAGATGTGGGACGAGTTTTTTGGCCAGCATGGCGAGGGGTTGGCGACTCCAGAGAGGGCAGGACTCGGGACATCGAGGATGGCGGATGAGTACCTGGACCATAAGATCCGCTTCCTGGCCAAGACATCCTTCAATAGGTACCTGATGTTGGAAGATAATCTGACCGGAAAGAAGGTGAAGGAAGCGAGCCATGGAGTGCGTTTGGAGGCGGTTGAGGCGGAGGTCTGAGAGCTCAGGGCATTGGTGGCTAGTCAAGCTGCCATCATCCAGGATTTGAAGCGGCAGCCTCGAGATATGGCGGGTAGGACAGAGAGAGAGGGGCCTACCGAAGGAGTGGACGGGGCAGGGAGTAGTCGACATGATACTCATGGAGAGTCAATACAGGGTTTATCCGGGCAGCCATCCGCAGTTGGACTCCCCAGGAGCCGCCCATGGGAAGAGTTATCCTGGAGCCTGAGGAGGCAAAGGCGAAGAGGGAGGCAGAAAGGTGGCTTGTGAGTTCCAGACACCTACAAATCTTGCCACCCAACCTATAGCTTCTTCCGAGCTAGCAACAGAGTCTGTGCCAATGCAAGTAGAGGATAGGCCGCAAACAACTGTCCGTGAGCCTGCACTTGGATCTGACGAGGGGTCCATAGGTATACTCCTTGAGGCAGTCGACACTATGCAAGAAGAGGCGAGTCAGTTTTCGCCTGAGAAGAGGGTGGAGGAACCTCATGAAGAAGAGATGATGGTTGTGATGGAGGGCGTCATCGAGCGCAGACCACAGAGCTTAGACACACTGGAGTATAGGCCAGAGGGAGTTGGAATACAGATGGAGTCGAGTATTCAGGAGTTAGGGATGAAACCTGAGGAGCCTATGGGTATGCCCCAATACTATGAGGTGGCGAGAGAGGCTAGTGAGGCACCCTCATCGCCAGGATCTCAGAAGAAAAAGAAGAGGGACCGAAAATCGGGAGACTTGTCCTGTTTTTTTTTTTTTTTTCCTGCAAGGATGGAGAGCATAGGACCTTGCAGTGTCCTAAGTTCCTGAAGGACAAGGCAACAAGAAAGGTTATTGAGAGTGGTGGGAGGATGTATGATAGGCAGGGTCGAGTGGTCGAGCGGATTGCCGATGGAGGTAGAGCTCGACTGTATAGACAGAACCAGGAGGAGATGAGGAGTAGGGACTGGTTCGCCTATGTATCAATAGCCACTATGACATACCGAGATTGAGTGGAGTGTGCATTCTTGATCAGATGTTAGTTTTTACCTTTGTTTTTATTTTTGTCTTGTTAGAAGTTTGGGCACCTACGCTGCTAGTGTATATATAGGGAAATACAGCATAGGATTGCCATTGAGGCTCTTCTTAGTAACATGAGGGTCAGGACTTAGGGAAATCTCAGGTGTATGTTGAGGATACCTTTTCTCTGACTCATTGAGGATTCAGTTTTTTGTTTCAGGATATTTTCGGTAGTACGGTCAGCCTTGTACCATAGTTAGGAGAGTTTTGTTTGGTACAAGCGAGTTGTGGGTCGGGATTATTATTTGTGTATTTGGATGAGATATCTCGTCCCTGAGTGTACTTTGAGTTCAGGTCTATTTGAGACTATCCCCTTGTATATGACGATCACAATCACTTTCACAAGTGTGGTTTTATCCTGATGTATGATGGTTTTGTGTGAGAGATCTATGAAGAACATCTCGTGCTTGTATTATATATTTTGTGTGAATATAAATGGATGTGAACTGCCTACTCTTCGGTGTACTCGTGTGATCTGCCCATGAGCGGATAATAGGGTCAGGTATAAGGAGAAGGAGTGCAGTCTGTTTTCGTGAAAGAGTGTAAGAATTCTAAGAGATTTATGAGTCTTTGAGACTCAAATGCTTACCAGGCCGAATGTTTATTGCTGAGTTGTGATGAGGACCCATAAATTGGTCTCTCAGTTTGAGTTATTTTATGGTTGGGACACCTTTGTGGGGGAAGGTAGTCTTGTGCTTATTTGGAAGACTCATCTTCAGAGAGAGAAGATGTTTTAAAATAAAGGTCGCGTGAGAGTTCATCCTAGAAAGAGAAGGGATGACTGGGAGACCTATTGAGTGAGACCTCCTTCATATGAAAGGTGGTTAATAGATTTAATGGCATGGTAAGTTGATTTTGAATGATAAAGACTGACGAGAAGGACCACGTTTTGTTTGGCCATTGGTGAAATTTTGGTGGTCGCAAACGTGATTTATTTTGGGAGATGTCTTTGAGAGGTGACTTTCTGGCTCTGATAAAGTTGGGAGGTCACGACCTTGTGAATCTGGCGGTGATTTTGTTTTGTGAAGTGGAGAGGTTGCCGTGTTTTTCTGTGTTGTCCAAAAGAGGACTGGTAAATACCTTTTATGTGTGACTGACATTTACGTAGTCCCGTAGTAGGCTTGTATTGTTCCGACACACCGTCCAACCACTTGTGCTAATCTTAGGGCATTTATGAGAATACCAAGCTAACGGTAAAGTTTAACATCACTAGGGCGCAACCCCTAGTGTCGACTGTTGATCGGCGTAACCTGAACAACGGGCCTACGTTTTGCCAAGGGAGTAAAGACTTAAAGGGGTGTGGCCACCTAAGAGGGTTTTACTCCTGCGGGAAGGCGTGGGATAAGAGTAGAGTCTTTATGAGTCTTGATTGAATGCTCATCAGGAGAAAGTCTATCGTGGCGCAAACTGCGAGGGCACTACTGCTAAAATAACAACGCGGTGGGCCATAGATCTGGCATGATCACCCAGACTACGGTCGGCCAAGATGGAGACCCGACCTTCCTGTATTAGACTGCAGGAAGGGTTTAATATAAGATTTATGTATATATATATGTTTGATTGTGAGAATTGTTGGGAGGGAAACGAGAATGCCTTCAAAGGTCTCCGTTAGGGTCCGCGTCCCTAGTTATGACCCTGCTTGCAGGGTAGAGACATAGGGACACTTAACGAGAAGCCGACATTTGTCTAGGACAAATGGGAGAGGACAATTCAGGAGGCCATTGGAACTTATGTTGTAGTATAGTGTTAGTATCCCAGCGTCCTAGTGTTAGGACAATGGAGACCCAGGTTAGAATCCTGGCAGCATATAGTTGTGTTTGACATGATTGGATGGAGGCCTCAAACCGAAGTCTGTCGGCTAATCGGATTGGATTCCTTTCTCGTCGGCATTTGGATTATGGTTGAACTGATAGCTTTTTTATCCTGCGAAGCGACTGGGACGTCGCTTAATATGGTCCAGTAAGCTGTCGGTATGAATACCCTTACAAGGGTATCCGCCCTAGTGTTTGCAAGCGACAGAAAATAAGTTTGGTATAAAAATTAGACCGCGCGAGGCGTGGCTGCGTTGATGGTTTACGTTGATTGAATGGCTGACTAGAGTAGAGAGTGTGTGGGCGAGCAGACTTAAGGCGCGCGTGATCCTCTTTCCCTTTTGATAAATGTGAAAGACCGACGTTGATTGTCGGCCAGATTTTTATTTTGGATTAAACTAGGATTAAAAAGATTATGTTTCGTTGACTAATTGCGCTTGCCTGTGACATGTGCGTACGTACGGATGACGACGTCGACAACAATGCGGTGCTGAAAATGTTTCGGTAGGTCTGCATGTTGCGCAGTACCGGGTTATTTTAGATGTCCGCTAGAGCTAGACCCAGCCTTGGGCCTACCACCAGTGATTACGACATTAGACTTTCATCAAAGAGATTCAGGGATCGAGACCAAGAGTCAACGACGCAGGGATATCAGAATAGCGCCAAAGGGACCAAGGAGTTGAGGGTCCGGCGGGCTATTTTCTTTGGTTTTGCCATCGGCGGCGTCAGAACAGTACAAGCGGTTCCTTTTTTCTTCGTCCATCATATCCTGACGATTAAGAGTTCCTAAATATTTTTTTGTTTATTGTCGTATTATTTAATTTTTCTCCGGCGTTCCTTGACTCAGACGCGACGCTGGATTTGGAGGCTGTCATAGCGGTTAAGGATCGTGAGCAGGCGCCTCCTCCGGTTGACCTACGGGTTCTGCGTGTTCGGGATGTTGGAAAAGTTCATCTATTCCGCCGTCTTGAAAACGGGGACTTAGGATTCAAAAGTTGGTGAGCCATGCCGGGCGCAATGGAGCAAAAGAGCGAAAAAAAAGAAAAAATAGAGGGGGGGGGGGGGGGGGGGGGGAAAAAAAAAAAAAAAAAAAAAAAAAAAAAAAAAAGGGGGGGGGGGGGGGGGGGGGGTCGCGGTAACCGTGCCGTTCACAAGGAACCCTTTCCGCAACTTTGGCGAGCAGAGCTCTCAATCGGGCCTCCTCACTAAGGCTTAAGCTGCAGACCTTGCAGCAATCTCAAGTTTGTCGGTCGGGGTCGGCCGGAGCACTGTTGTGCCCGGGGTAGTGCGTTACCGAGTGCAAATGCAATGCAGGACGAGCTAGTGGAGGTCGTCAGTGGGCTCGGGCTGTAGGGGCGAATGGCTAATCGAACTGTCTAATAGTTGGTCCCTCTGAAGTTCCCCTTGGACCTGCTGAGCTCCTGTCGAAGTTTTCCCCCAGGCGGCTAAAGTGGAAGCAGGGCAAAGTCACGGGATGCGTCGACAGTTACTGACGATCCGCTGTGAGAAGTGAGTGTGAGTATGCTCGATGCGATCGAAAAGGTGGTGGCCTACGTCAGCGTGGGCTGCTGGAAGTTGCGCAGTGAAGCCGAGCGTGACGCAAACAGGGGAGAGCGAACAGCAGCTAGCAACAATGAAGGGAAGAAATTGGACTGAACCTAGACGCGGATCCGTGCTAGGTGCATTCGAAAACGAGCGATGGAGACAGTAAGGCAGAAGAGAAAGGGGGCTAAC